AATAATTTTCTCCACCGCCGAACCTTAATTCAACATCATGTTTGCAGATTGAAATCACATTGAAAATTCGAGAAATAATAGAAAAATTCAGTGTTCGCAAGCTGCAAACGCTTGGTCACAAAGGGTTAACCTGACACGTGTCAGGCTCAACAAGTTAAGAGCAACGACTGTCCATCACGTGTCTCATGAAATTCGCACGCCTGTTGCATCTGCAGCCTCCATAAACCGTCCCCCACCCCCGCCCTACCCTTTCGACCACCGCTGTCATTCATTTCGAGGTTTTTGTTTTTCGTTCTTTTTTAATCGTTGGCCTGTTGCGTCCATGACATTATGCAACCGTGCACAGGTACCAATAATGTTATGAAAAACCGTGATACTGGCATTGAACCGAGATGTCAGCTGCGGTCAAGGCGACGTCAGCGCGTCCAGAGTTCAGATTGACACTTCCGTGTCGGTGAACACGGTCCCATGTTCGCTAGGACACGTGTCATGACTATGGAATTACCGAAGACCAGTGTTGGGCAGAATTCACTCGGGAGATGTGTTATTAACGCTGAAACTACCGAGCATTTAATATAATTGATATGTAATCCTTCTAAAGATAGTGACGATAAAGGTAAAAGTACCAATAGTTGGTCAGTTAAGAAAAATGTTTTGCGTGAATAATAGTAAATGCTTATTTCTTTATTAAATAGAAAGACTCTATGCGTGAAAATGCTGTTTGAACTTCTTACATTATATAACAAAGCGAACTTTTTCGAAACAGTCATATGACCCAAATTTTATAGACATTTTTGAATATAGAATACTTGCGTCGGAAGTTAACGATTCTTTAAAACGAGAAAACTAGTAATTGACCATATGTTGGTTAGCAGTTGACCGCTTACAGAAAAACCAAAAACGCTAAAGATGATTACTTTAATATTATTTATTTGTGACGATTATGACAAATTACAGGCAAAACGGCAAATACAATGAAAAGAAGTTAATTCCATGTTAGAAATTGGAGGCATACAATCAACATCAATAAAAGAATAATTCAGGTAAAAGCGTTTCGGAGTTGGGTCGGTAGACGATGCAGTATATCACGCCGTTATTGAGAGATTATTACTTTTAAAATCCTTATTTTTTACATTTTCCTGGAAGGTGGTCAACTACTGATACCAGGTAAATTACTGGTGCTTTTACCTGGTTTGTTTTCGATTCCTTTAGATATTCAGATGTTATAGTATTCCAGTGGAATTGTTTATTTTCAAAATCATTTCGCGTACTTAAGGTATTTAAAATTTCAATAATTGCGAAATAAGAAATATAATACATTAATATAATTATAATTTTTAAAGATTTTTTTTACCCTCTATGTATGTTTTATAGTTTGCCTCAATTTTTCATCGTTGTAAAATCTAAGAATTTGAAAGAATTTTAGGATACTTATTGTAGTTCTTACTTTAATGTATAAATAACTATTTATCCAATTCTTCGTGTCATTTCGCAATAAAAATTCAAAATCGTGATGAAGTTGTGAAGAAATGAGATTTTGAACAATCCTTCAATCATTTAAACACTTTTCAAAATTTTTTTTAAAGTTTCAATTATCGAGAGACTATGGTAACATCTATAACGTTGTGCACCCTAAGCTGAACAGAAAGAAACAGGAAATTGGTCGTCGTCCCTGATGAGTTAATTGACGTTGTTTTGTCAATATAGCCTTGCAACAAAAAGGTTTACTGGAGATTTCCTCTAGTTTTTAGCTACACTTGTCTTGGCCAATTATAGGGTAGCCATGATTATTGCCTGTAGCTCTTTTAAAAATAAATCAAATTTAAATTGCTAAATAAGGTAAAATAAAAAATCTACTTTAACAATTATCGGAAAAATACAGATTCATTAAAGTATAAATGAACTTTATGAAGTTTAATAAATGTACTCTTATAATTCGTATAAGAAAGTAGAATACAGTTTACTTGACCGTTTGGTTTTAGTGTAAAAAACCAAATTTTTCGGTATATTTATTCACAGTTACCATAAAAAATGATATTTTTTCGGTTGAAGCTCTTTTTCGAGAAAATAAATATTTCTATTTGTGCGTAAAATGCTTAAGAAATATATTTTTTGGATTGTTTCATGTATCATGTTAGTGTAATTTCTTTTTGTTGCACAATAAAGTGCACCGAAAAATCTATTCTTCAATTTCTCATCGGGTTAAAGTCAAAATTTCAGGTATACGAAGAAAATCATTTCTACTGAATATTTTTAATCCATCTCCAAGAAAATTCGATTGATTCTTTATATCTTTAAGAGACTTTTTTTTCTTATTTTTTTTATTTACGTTATCTGTTTTCATTGGAAGTAATACGCTGACGGTAGATGAACCATGACACTTACAAGTTCTTTGTTGATTATTTTATGATGAGCAATGGTGGATCATTTGACAACAAACAGAACATAATTAATTATTGAATAACAGCGGCCAGTGGGATCTTATGTAGGAAACTCTATCCATAAAACCCTTTATTAGTCTATGAAAGGATGAATCACTGTTGGGTTATATCAACGTGTTATAATAAAGTACGCCATGAATGGAAAGAAATTTTTTACGATATTCCAAGCCTTGGAACATTAAACAGCAAATACTGTAATCACGTAAATAGTAAACACATCGGAATCAACAATATTCGAAATATCTGTCCACAATGTTGGTTTCAAACGAACAATACAAATTTATTATATAAGTACCGGAAAACGTTCATGAAGGTTTCTTAGCGTTTGACAAGCACACACTTTATTTTTTGATTTTATTGCACGTCATATCAGATTCCAAATGAAAAGTATTTAAGGGGAAAAAAACGATAAGAAAAATAGATAATAAATGAAGAACACGAAAAATGATGAATTTGATTTTTACCCGATGTTCATGCGTGAATACAAGAAAAGTTCTTTTTATACGAAAAAAGCATATTTTATTTAACATTTACATTTTTTTAAACTAAATTCCACAGTTAACAGATTAAACTAGTGAAATACTAATTGAAATCGACCCACAATCCATTGTTAGTAAGAAAACCGAAGGAACTTCTTCAGGTACCAAGTACAATATTTCACCACACAACACTGGTCCTCGGTATCGTAAATATATCTATATTTATGAGACAATCTACTAAACTTGTGACGAAGCGTGAAAGTATAAGCGCTCGAAGTAAAAGTTCGAGAAAGTTCACGATTCATTTGAACTCTCACCAAGTATATTGTGGAATAGGTGCTCGTTACTTTAGATGTCAACTTTTTAAATGTTGAGAGTCGTTCCCAATAACAATTCAATCGTAATGCGCCGATTAGTCGGTAAAATTTTTAAAATTTAAAGAGAAGTATCACATTTTCAAATTCAAACATTTTTACAAGAATCAAAGGTTTTCTTATTGAACGTAGAATATTTTTTATCTTGCTATAATAAAATAATTTGCGCTGAGTAACATCTTAAGGAAACGCAAAATACTTTTTATCGGATTAATCTATTTAAGATAGTCAATGATTCCTTTATGTCCGTCGTATTTGGATTTTCCAAATTATAGTCAGCTGATTCGTATGTACTGTTTTTTAAAATATACGTACATACTTTATGTTCTATAAGAAATAAAAAATATACAAAGTTGAGTTGCTGTATATCTACTCTATTAAAGAAAAATATCAGTTGTAAAATAATTTTTATTTCTTTGTTTGTTCCGAGGTCATTTCGAAGTAGAATTTTAAATGTAATTTTTAATTATCTTATATTTAAATTAGAAGATTATCATTAAATAAGGATGATAGTCTAGAATTCAAATAAACTATATCTACTCAAATCTTCATTGGAAAATTACAGCATTAAATAAAAGTAATAATTCACATCCAAAACAAACTATAAATACCACTAACACTAACTCCGTTTCTCTTATGTAACGCATAGGAAATAAATTTATAAACGCAGTGCCGGCGTTATTTAACATTAATACAATTCAGTAGTAAACAAATCTCTTGAAACTTATTACAATTACATTAATGTTAAATAAATGTTAAATAATTCCCACTAACTTCTGTTTTATTCATCACGACCAAGCACCATTAAACGAAATCTAGTTCTTCATTCCAAAATCGAGAAATCTCGAGAAATCCGTTCACAAAACCACATTCTTTATTCCAATGTATATAGTCATCCTACATTTTCTTCTACTACACACCTTTATCTTATTTATTCTTTTGTATTAAGAAATTTGTTAACAAAACGAAATTTTAATTTCAAAATTTCTTGACCCCGTGTGTTTCCTTGTATACCTTTATCTTGGGTTCTGATTTTCTTGAGAAATTTGATATTTTTATTTGTTTATTTATATTTATATATTTCTATTATTTATTGCCAATTTTGCTGTAACCCATCTTATTCGATTTAAAGAGACTGCCGCGATTTAGATAAACATTGCTGTTCACCTCAACAACCTCTGATACCAGGATTGCAAACATACCTGGGAAAGTTGAACCGTTACCGTTATTATTTTGTATTTCATCCTTCTCATGCGTAGATAAGATACGTCAGCCCGATAATGATCGCTATTCCATTGAAATATCATCATTATATTGTTTTCTAATAATAAATGATTTTCGGTCGTCTGTGTTATATCTCCGAACGAGACACAGAAAGAATAACATTCATTTTCGATTTCGGGTTGCCGTAAATACAATTTAATCCAGCCCAAATAAAAAGTCCATTTAACTGACAAGTGTTATCGCCATGACGCGATATTCTTTGATAACTCGATAAAAATCACCAATCGTATCAGTTTATGCGTCAGCCGAATTATGTCATAAAAATATTATCCCACTATTTTGCATGCACCCAGCGACTATTCCATCGTATGTGTCGATGCGAACACTTGCATGATGTGAGAGGATTTTTCAAATGATTTTTTCCAATTTTATTTTATATTGATTT